CCGGCGGACAAAGCGCTTTTTATCGTTCCCGAGGTTTGTCGAGGTGATGGTGGTGGCAGACCGGAAAATGACTTCGTACCACGGAGCCAACCTTCAACACTATGTTTTAACTTTAATGTCAATTGTAAGTACATTCAAAAGAAGGTGATTTATGAGGTCCCTAGAGGGGCCACTGGGGATGGGTTTCCACGCAGGGCTTCGGAGGGGCATTCAGGCTGCCATTTCAACGAAAATACCTTAAAATGTAAATTTGCTGGACTTTATTGTTATTTAAAACATCCATCTGTGAGTAAGTTTACAAAGAATTCATTCATTTGAATGAATGTTGGTTGAATGAATGAAAATTCAAAACTGAAAACTGCATGTGCTACATGAAATGTAGAAAGAGGTGGAGCCTCGGATAAGAAGCAAATGGCTTGTCGCTTACCCAGAGTTCACAGTTAACTTTGAAAATTTATCTCGGTTGCAGGTAGCCTCTATCTATAAAGACCCCAGTATTGGAAATTTAATTAATATTGTTGTTGTGAACTTAGTGGTGATTCATAATGAACAGGTAATAGTTTTTTTTTCTTCTTCTACCTGTATCCAAAATGGTATATGTAATGGGTACAGCGGACCAAGCATAATTCTTTTCTGTATTTAGGAAGGACCTTCCATATCCTTTAATGCCCAGACAACATTAAGAAACTTTTGCCAGTGGCAGCATTCGCAGAACCATCCAGGTGGAATCCAGCACGATACTGCTGTTCTTATAACGAGGTACGCGGCTCTGATTCTTCTGTCTCCCAGCTTCCAGGCAAGTTGATGGGATGAGATTGTATGTTCCTGGCAGCCGGCTCCCAGTGAGAGGCTCCTCAGCCTCAGCACCGGTGGCGTTTGGGAGCAGAAAACCCTGCGGCGTGAGGCCGCCTGTGCATTGCAGGACGCTTAGCAGCACCCTGGGTCTCTGCCCACCACTCGCCTGTAGCATCCCCTCCTCTCGTGTGACAACCAACAAAGTCCTGCATAGACGGCCGAATGCCCTCTGAGCGCGGGGTGGGGTGGGGTGGGCGTAGAGGGGTGCAGAACTCCCCTGCTAGGAACCACTGGTGGATAGGTGCCAAGGGGACAGTGAAGTGTTAGGCAGGCCTGAAAGGAAGCGGCTTTCTAGAGGGGCAGTGGCTCTTCAGACTGAGTCCATTGTTGCCAGGCAGGATACAGTCCCAAGTACTCCCAACTTTTATAATTTTTGCAAGAAGTCAGAGATATGGATTTTTCTTTAAAGGAAACTCTCCCAATTTTTGAATGGTAGCTCCTAGCTCAAAATTATTTTTTAAAACTGTAGGGGGCAACGAAGAGGTCTGCTGGCTTAAGTGTGCCGCCCACCATTCACCTTGGACATGGTGACAGACATGCACTCATAAACGTAAAGGAGAGACCTGTTTGTCAGGAATCTAGATTAAGAAACTAGAGTCACCTCCTCCAACGTATGAGTAAAATCCTGGTGGGAGAGGTTTTTGCTTCTTCCATGGCCTCCCTGAGGCAGAAGACCTTTCCATGAGCTCTTTATCCTTAAATCAGTGATTTCCAAACCCTGGCCTTGCTAGTTTGCTCTGTGTAACCCCCTCCCTAACGTGGATGCGTTGTGAATTCCTAGAAGGCTCTAAAGTGTTGACTTGTACTGACCTTTCCTCTTTGCTGTTGTCAAGGCCCTAAGTCTTCTTTGCTTTCAGACAGGATATCTGCAGAGCTCACGACAAATGTGATACCTTAGGTGAGTCTGCTGTGCGTCTCCTTTATGGCTACAGCCCTTTACTACCTGTTTTTATTCTAAGCCCCAACCGTGTTTTCAAGTAAACCCTTGTTTCATTCCTTCCCATAGGTCTTGCTGAACTGGGAACCCTTTGTGATCCCATCAGAAGCTGCTCTATCAGCGAGGATAATGGGTTGAGCACGGCGTTTACAATCGCCCACGAACTGGGCCACCTGTATGTTCCCTTTCCATCTTTTCATTGAATTCAGAAAACTTTCGTTCCTTCACAACAGTGCGCCTTTCCTTGACTTTTGAGGATGAGAGACACTTCTTGAGTCACAGGAGAATTGGCAGGATTGGAGAGCCTTAAAGCTAGTTGGGAGAAATGACTGATTTCGGAAAGCTGAGTAAATGCAATGCGCTCACCCTCTTTGGCCGTAACCCATGTGCTTCTTTGGTTTAACTGCACAAGTTTTCAATGAAAAGTCAAATATTCTCCTTTCCTACTGGGAATCG